GCCCCGCACAGCCGGGCTGCGGCTGCCCACACCTGAGGGGAACCCCGACATGGCACCGCCGGGGCGCTCCTGCCCCCGGGCCGCCGGCAGCAGGGACACGACGGGGCTGCCAACACCCCGCCACTGCTTCCCTGCCTTCAGTGCATCAAGGCGGTGGCACCGCTGGATTGCAAAACATTCCAAACGTCTCCCTTGCAACACCAAGGGGAAACCACAGAACAGGAAGGAAAGGAAAGCTGTGCCAAAAGCCAAGGGGGATGAAAGGGAAACCTGAACAAAGATACAACTAAGCCTTGGGCTTTGCAATAGCCTCCAAAGTGTCAGGTGAAACATTAGGACGAAACAATCTACTAAACGCTGCGACATCGAAAATGCCACTTGCATAATTTTGCAACTGCACAAAAATATTTTAAAAAGCAGTCCTATACATTTATTGAAGAGATTTGATAAGTTGCTGACAGAACCAGTTTCACGTGTGTGATGTCCTTGATGTTTCCTGGCTGGGGGTGCATCTCCCAGCACTTGGGGCTGCCACACGGCTCCTGTCACGGCAACTTCTGGATTGGCTGCATTAATTTGGGGTCCGACATTGCCGGCGGGACTGGTTTTGTCTTTGGGATGTCCTCGATGCTTCCTGGCCGCTGTTGCACCTCCCAGCCCTTGGTGATCTCACGTGGCTCCTGTCACGATGACTTCTGGACTGGCTCTGCGTATTGGGGGTCTGATATTGCTGCCAGAAGCGGTTTCGCTTGCAGAATGTCCCTGTTTGTGTCTGCCTGGGCCTGCGTCTCCCAGGACTTGGTGCTGGCTCATGGCTCCTGTCATGGAGACTTTGGGACAGGCTCTGTGGATTTGGGGTCTGACACTCCTGGTGGGCGTGGTTTTGCCTTCAGAATGTCCTTGCTGCTGTGTCTCCCTTGAGTTTTGCCTCTCAGAACTCGATGTGACGTGCAGTTACTGTCATGAGGAGTCCAGGACCGGCCATATGAAACGGGGTCCGACGTTGCTGGCACAAGCGGTTTTGTGTCAGGTCAGGCCAAGGACTGCTGGAGCAGCTGCTGACCTCAGGTTCTGAGGAGCTGCTGTGGGAGGAGTCTGATTTCACCTGGCTTTCAGTGCTGGGGCTGCTCGTCTCCTGTGAGGGAGATTGCAGAGACTGCTCTGATGTTGCCTGTTGATCAGAGCTGGGGTTGCTGGTCTCTGGTGCTGGAGAACTGGGAGACATCCCCGATGGCACCTGGTTACCAGTGCCGGGGCTGATGGACCCGGGTTCATGGGAAGGCTCCAATCCCGACTGTGTGGACAGGTTGGGGCCGTAAAGCTCAGGCTCTTCCATGGGGGCTGTAAGGGGAAGCAAGAGGGTCAAGGCCACCCAGAGCAAGATAGGCCAGAGCAGTACCACCAGCCCTCCTGGAGCAGACAGGCTCTGCCAAGCCCACTCTTGACACCCGTTGTCAGGCCCAGGGTCACCAGGGTGCTTTGCCTTTTACCTGTGCCCAGGACTGCACAGCCATCACATTCCCAGCTGGTTAGGCTGTCCCTCAGGCCACAGCAGTGTCTTTGGGTGCTCTCAGCAGCACAGGAGGAGCACAGAAGCAGTTCCCAGGGCCTGGGGAAGCAAACGGGTTCATGGAGGTGCTGAGCTCTTCTCCTGGGTCCTTCTGCATCAAGCCCTGCAGATCCCTGGGAGGCAGCTTTGGCAACTTACTCCTCCTCCTCTGCCTCCTGCCTGCCTCCTGGACAAAGGCACTCACTGGTATCGCAGTGCCTGTGTCTGTCTCCTGGCTCGGCGAATGTATTAAAGCCCTCCCCTCCTGGTGGTCTGATGGGAAAATGAAAACTGATGAGCTCCCTCTGCCCCGGCATCGGGCAGGTGCAGGGTGTCCCTGCTCTTCCCCCTGTGCCATTTCCAACTCCTGTGGGAAGCTGAACCCAAGACTCACAGAACAGGGCAGGGCCTGGACTGCTGGGGCAGGCCCTGGCACAGCACTTGCCACTTGCACCCCCTGTGTCGTGAGCCAGGCAGAAGGACACCAACCTCAAGGGCATTCGGATCCCCATGGTGAACATATCCTTGACAAATGTGTCAATATTTCTGCAGAGGGGGCACTGAAAGGATAAAATACCAGAGCTCAGAGCCTGTCCCTGCAGGAGAAACACAAGCAGCCAGAGTGAGACCCTGATGCTGCTGAGCCCCTGCTGTGCCCCCTGGGGTGAGGGAACCACTCCTACTTGGATGCAGTCCCTGTGGAACCAGGTGGTTTTGCAGGCTGGGCACACCATGGTATTGAAGGTCTTTCTGTGCTCCACAGGCTCCATGCAGATGAGACATTCGGTGCCCGGCTCTGGAGTCGCCTCCACTGCCTGTTCTGGGCTGTGTGTGAGGCAGAAGGCCCTGGGGGAAAAAAGGGGTGGGTGAGGTAAGAAGTGGTGGTGGCAAGGAAGGGACAGGAGGTACCTGTACGGTGTAATGAACTGGGTGACACAGCGTCCCTGCTTGG